CGGCCACCACCGGTGACGATTATTTGAACCTCCCCTAGGTCGACTCAGCCTCAAACGAGTAACTGGTGTGGCCTATTAACATCGGCACTTGGGAGACAAAGGCGGCCGGGCGTGGTGGATCCAAGTCCCGGGCGAAGCCGGGTAGTACAGCTAGTGATTTACTAAAGTTACATTGCACACTGGTGCAATTAGAATCCATGTGGTAGGTGTGCACATTGGTGTAAGTACGTGGATTATAAATTAAACATGTGGGTGCTAGCACGCATGTGGGAGGTGTTAAAATGTGAATGAACACATGAGTGTAAGCACATATACATTTGTTGGTATGCACATTTTAATGTTTCCTTGTACAAATATCTTTGTAGTCAAATTCATAAATGAAATGGAGGCTGGCTCCCCATCTTATCTTTGATATTCTTAAAATATATATAGATTTCATATCAGTAACTCATTGAAAAGGCAACAGATTTTAAAAGACCAAAAACTATCGCTCAAGTTGAAGCGGTTCTCAGGGCCACAAAGTCCAACAAGTTCCTAAAGAAGCCTGGGACTACATGGACAACAGTGGCTTGAAAACCTCGTCACTATCATACACAGAATAGGCAAAATCCAGAAAAAAATCTAAGCAAGCCTGAGCCATCGACATTTTTAATATCGCAAATCCACAAGGCGTGCGCTCCAGTTATAGGCCACTATCCCTGTTGTCCTCCACCTCCAAGCTGATGGAGCACAACATACTTGCCAGACTTTCCTCCATTATCGACCCCCAAATGCCTCACAAACAAGCCAGATTTCGAACTGGCCATAGTTGCTTGAACAGATTGTTACTTTCACCACACTCATAGAAGCTGGTTTCCAGCATCAACAGAAAACAAGCACAGCAATTATTGACCTATCTGCTACCTATGACACTGGTTGGTGTCATGGCCTGCTGCTGAAGATGGCCAAAATCATCAGATGCTGTTCTACTGCACACCTAAACGACACGATGTTTATCAGCAACTGTACTTTCAGGGTAAACCTTGCTGGTAAACAGCCAGAAGAAATTTAGAAACAATGGCCTCCCTGAAGACTTGGTACGAGCACGTGACTCTTTAACATAGAGTCATCTGTGTTAGCTGCTGAGGTCGTGACAGGTTTCTTTTTTCATTTCTGTTGCTCTGTGCCCCTGTGCCGTTCCTGTTCTGCTGGAATGTGCACTGATGCCTACTTTATTGAGGGCAATATTGGCATGTAAAAAAAATAAGTGACCTGCCATGTACATCATCTCGTAAGTTCATATATGCAAAAGACACAGTCCTTGCTGCACACGGCACACACTTCAAGAACATTGCCAATACACTCAAAGCTGATCTAACTTTATTGGAGGTATATTTCTATCACTGGAGACTGACCAAATCCTTCTAAAACCACCACAAGTGCTTTACACCTGAACAATCATACAGTAGATGCTACCCTTAATGTTGATTTAAAGCGTCCGTGACTGCAGGAATTCACACTCTCTGGTTCTTTCGGTAAAGTCACGTAGATAAAAAAAATAATAAAAGAACACGACGTTTCGGTCGCAACACAAGCGTCCGTCATCAGGTGAGAAAGAATGATCTGCTGTTGTGGCTTTATATAAGATATCTATATATAGAGGTTATCATGGATTGAAGTCTGACCTTTAAGGTGCATATAAAAGAGATTTGTGCAAAGACCAAATCAAGAATCGCCCTGCTACAAAAACGTGATGTGCTGTAAACTGCCACCTCATCTTGCACTGATCTAATAAGTGCAGCCTGGTCTGGAAGTTCATACACAAAACTGCAAGATGCACAATTAAATAACGCAATGCACATCATAGCCAAAAGACTGAAAACCAACACCAAACTCCAGGCTCCCTGTAATGGCAAACATTCTGCCACCAAATATTCGCAGAGACTTGCAAACTGCAAGGGAGTTTATATCATTCTTGTCAATGACAACCTACCAATAAACTAAGGCCTCAACAATGTACCTCATCACAGACTCAAGTCCCGTTTATTCTGCTGGGAATACACTGTCACCATCCTCAAATCTCACCCAGATCCGGAATAACAATGGTTAACAGAGCAGAACAATGTGGACGCCCAACATAAACACGTAATTTGAGACACAAACATCACATCTCTTGGCTTTGACATTCTTCAGACAATGGTGCACCATCAACTGCATCAGAGCATTAACAGCAGATGCGTACATATCCTTCATAAATGAAAATTAGAGACAAGCCACAGTGCGATTATGGCCATGCCACTCAAACATTGAACCATATAGTAAAGAACTGTAGTCTGCATTCCTTCAACGGAGGAATAGCACTGACGACACGAGCTCTCTACTGAAGCCCTTTTAGTTGCTGCTGGCAGACCTCGACATTGGGATTTAGCTCCTGAAAATATTTGCACAAGAAGAATAATCACAGTGAAATCATATTTAGCAATATTAACTACCCTTGAGCCTAAAAATGGCTTTTGTCACACAATGAATAAACGGACACTGAATCGACGTAAATATGAAAATCATATTCTGGAAAGATACACTGGTTCATACTCTTAGGTTTTTTCGGTAAAGTCACGTAGGTAAATTACTTGATACAGCTGTCGTGGCTGTGACGGTTCCACCTGAAGACGGAGGCTTGTGTTGCTTCCGAAACGTCATGAATTTTTTAATTTGTTTTATTTTACTTTTATTAATTTAAAATGTTTTACCTACGTGACTTTACCGAAAAAACCTAAGAGTATGAATCCTTGCAGTCACGAAAGCTTCAAATCTAGAATACACTGGTTCAGTGAAATGTTATGTATTGCTCAAGGCTAAAATATGTGCAAGATTGGACAAGAACCATTGTTTTAATGGGTGGTGACAGTGTAAGGGATTGACTGCAATACATTGCATTGATGTGATAAAATGCAAAGTCAGATAAATACCAGAAATTTGATGGCACAGTAAGCAACAAATTGCCAACACAAAACAAAATTAACTCGTGGTGAAAACAAAGTAGCATTTATTTTTTACTGTTTTAAAATATAATAGTTTTGTTAACATTACGGATAATGTAATTATATAATATTGAATAGTTTCAGCTCAATCCACAGGGAATGCAAGTTACTATAAATGTTTAAAACTAGTTATGTAACGGCACCAATCACACATGTGCATCATGACACATACAATGCGCAAAGATGGCACGCAGTGGCTACTGTATTGCTGTATTGTTATTTCTCCCCAAGCCCACTTACATTTCTTAACAAACAAAATTATATCTCAGTATGACACCATTTCACGCTACTCTATTCTTGTAAACAACATAATTTGATTGTTTGTCTCCATGCCCAATGGTGGGAAGACTCTTCATGTATCAAGTGTGCTCCGCTGTTGATTATACATTTCATTAACAAATTCATCATGATTTAAACTTATTCTCCTCACATTCATTGATTTATTTGTTCATGGTATGCACGCATTCTATATATTATAATATATATTTAAATGAACAGCCTTTATATACAAAGCAGACTGCTGCTTGTGTGACTGCAGTGGTCAAGAACACTCACATTCCAAACGATTACCGTTAATTAATTACATGAAAAAGTTTCGATTTAAAGCTTTCGTGACTGCAGGGATTCATCTTCTTGGTTCTTTCGGTAAAGTCACGTAGAAGGGAAGTAATAAAATAATAAAACATAATAAAAATAATTATTTTATTTAAATAAAAATAATTATTTAAAAATTATTTTATTTAAATAAAAATAATTATTTAATAAATATTTTATTTAAATAAAAATAATTATTTTTGATTTAAATAAAAATAATTATTTTATTATGTTTTATTTTTATTATTTTATTACTTCCCTTCTACGTGACTTTACCGAAAGAACCAAGAAGATATATGAAAAAGGTTAACCATTTGCCATGGTACAACACAGAAATGGTCCGAATGCCATAAAGTGTATTAATGTAATAGCTAAACATTTTTCTTCAACATCCATTTGCCAGTAGGTGGCGCGTTTCAAATGCCGTACTGTGTGGGGGCCGCACTGACAAGCGGGTAAAAAACTACTGCAAAAATGGAAGCTTCTGCAGGGTGGTCCATAAATCTGGAATCATGGGGAAAAATAACTAATTTCTTTGTTTCTGAAGGCCCAAAATGTCTGAGTAAGGAAGAACAAGTCCAGAAAATTCAACTCAAAGGAAATCGGAGTCAGAGGGAGGTCGCTATTGAATTTAACATAATCCATACCGTGAGCCAATAACACAGAGCTGTGTTTTTCCGATTATTGCAGACTTATGGGACACCCTGTATGTGAACTGAATGTATTTGTGTTTTGAAAGTGGTGTAATGTTCATTGGATAAACGTACACCTATGTTACAGATGTTAAAATGTGTGTAAGTGTTTGCTACGTGTCACCCGCCACGCAGGAAACCCATGAAAACAAGATGTTGCAACGCGAATAATGATCCAAAGAACGCCACATTTATCATGAACACAATAATGCAATGTCTGTATCCAAAAAATGCTGAATCGTAAGGCTCCTTTTCAGGAGGTCCTTGTATTGGGATGTTGCCAATTTAAATGGGAACATGTTGTATAAAACTGAAGTATTGAGGAAATCGAACACATGAGGGAATTACATAAAATGCTCTGAAGACGGATTCTGTTCACTTGCTGCGAGGACTTTAAGGCTTCTCTCCACGCTTGGGGTCTCGCGGTGTGCGGGAGGTCTTAAACTCTGGAGATGTGGGTTCCTGGGGTCTACATGCGGGTAGGGAGTACAGCTTTAAGGTCTCTTGGCTCTAGGGTTTAGTGTCTTGCAGCCAGGGGCTCGCAATGTTAAGAGGTTGGGAGGAGCAACTTCTGAAGAAGCCCCCCCGGGGCTCGCTCGCCGCAGAGAACTAGGAAAGCCGTAAGGCTTGAGGCCTATAGCCGTCTTCCGCCCGCTGAGCGCTCAGCTTAGCCCGCGACGCCTTCCAGACTCACCTGCCGGCTCATGAGCGACTTTATCTTCTGCATGGCCACGATGCCGTGGGCGCCAGGCCGTCGGGGAACGCAGCGGGAGTGAGGGGGACCGTGAGGGTCAGACGGCGGCCGCGTCCAACAGGACCATGACACCGCTCCCGTCCGGCTTGACGGGAATCGATTCTGGCACCGCGTAACGCGGCTAGCGATTCCCGACATCGTGTATCGTGTATAGTTTATCATATACGCTACCATTCTCCATTGTGTTGCGTTGAATTGAAAGGCAATATCGAAAGCAACGTGCTAGTCGCGTCAAAGTATCCGTTAATATAGTTTAGCGATCAGGATTTATCGGTCATTTACTCGAATCGATTATTACAGATTTTTCTCGGTGTATCGATGCCGTAATCGACACAGGGCGGGTTCCGTACACAAGGTGGCCAAGCGCCGTGATTGGTCAGTTCCGAGCGGTCACGTGACATAGGGGGAGGGTGGGGGGGGTCACGTGTGAAGGAGGAATCCGAAGAGCTGTAAAGCGCTTTTTTTCACCAGAAGCCCAGTAGGGGCGGGTCAGAATGTTACACCAACAAACAATGCACAAAAACACAATAGGGGTGCAAAGTATAGGAAAGGTAAACACATCACTTAAATTTCGATTTAAAGCTTTCGTGACTGCAGGGATTCATCTTCTTGGTTCTTTCGGTAAAGTCACGTAGAAGGGAAGTAATAAAATAATAAAAAGAAAACATAATAAATTATTTTATTATGTTTAAAATAAAACATAATAAATTATTTTATTATGTTTAAAATAAAACATAATAAATTATTTTATTTTATTATTACTTTATTCCCTTCTACGTGACTTTACCGAAAGAACCAAGAAGATAAATCACTTAAAAATATATAAAAATAAAAGTAAACTTTTTTTTATCTTACCAGGTAAAGCCCACTTAGCTATGTATTATCTTGTTGTTTTCAGAAGTGAAGAGGCTGAGGGGCGCTGTGCTGAGTCAGGAAATGCTTGCTCAACCTGAGACTGGGCAGGCCATAGTCTCTTTGCTGATGGCTTTAATCTAAGTTGTCTTGTGGTTGTTGTTGTTGTTGTTTGACTTGCATCCCACTGGGATTTTTGCACATAGCGTTGGTGTACAGTGCTTTTTCTGGAAGATTTTGCTGTTTTTTCCTGGATTTTTCTGTTTGCACATAGTCACTTTAAGATGTTTTCTTGTTCGTGTTTTTGTTTTTTTTTGTTGCGGTTGCACCCGATTCAAGAGCCGAATGGCTCACAGGGCTATACCAAATAAATGAAACTGAAACTGCTGTTTGTCCAGAGTTACAGGTGAAAATGCCACTTCTACTGGGGGTCATGATTTGTATTTTACCCTTCCCTGCACGAAATCCTGCAGTTTCACTCGGTGGTAATCATTTTATATCAGAATCGTTATTTCTCCTGGAGAAATCCGATGAGCTATGAAGCTATGTTTCACAGATGCCAAGTAAAGCCCCTAGAGACAAGGCTGACCATTCCACGATCGAGATATTCTACTTCTGTGTAGACATTCAGTGACTAAGTATGATGAGTGTGTTCCAACAACTGGTCTCGCTTCTTTGATGATGCCCACAGTTGTTCCATCTGGTCCAGGAGCTTGTCCATGTTCATACTGTGAACAAGTCTTCATTTCACGTGTGACATCTGGAACATCCTCTTAATCTGAAAATAGTTTTATTCTTGGGATTTTATCTTCAAAAGGGGTTATATATATGACATGACAAGCCTCGTAATGCATATATAAATAATTCACGAAGGTCATTGATGAAACCTTTAAAAAATGTGAGGACAACCACATTAACAAGTCAGTTAGGAAAGTTTTACCATCAACCACATACCGTAATATAAATCAAATCTTGAAAAAACCAGGGCCTAAAATATACCGTATACATATTTTTGTAAAAGTGGATTGGTGACATTAATGGATGACCTATCTTAAGATTTGCTGATAACAGTCATAACAACCAATGGAAACGAACTGAAGTATATGAAACATTAAAAAAGACAACAAAGTGGGACTTAACATAAAAAGGAGATACACAACTGGAAAACACTGCAGTATTTATACACAGTATTTATACCCGGCAGTCACGAAAACTTCAAATCTAGACTGTAGTATTTCCGACAAAGACACCGGCTTTGACCTTTGCCTGACAGCTCAGGGAAGAAGTCTTGAAGGTACTTGAAGGCTGCCGACTCATTATCTACAGCTCTGACAAATTGTTTCATAAGGCCAAATTTGATGTGCATTGGTGGCATCAGCACCTTCTGGGGGTCCACCAGTGGCTCCCACTTGACATTTTTCTTCCCGACAGAGAACTCGGTCCGCTGTGGCCAGTCTCACCTGTGGTAGTGCGCCTTGGTGTCTAAATCTTTCGTAGTAGTTGTTGTATTACTTTAGTATAAATACATGTTAATTTTGATTCATATGTTGTATTTTCTGACTTTATGTGAACGAAAAGACACAAATTCGCCCGTTTTCTCATTGAAAATAGGTACATTTTTAAATAGCACTGTCCTGGTCACAAAAGCAAAGTTGGTGGAGAATAATAGCCATTTTCTGTATTTTTGAGGCATAAGCAATTATGAAATAACACTACCCAGGAACAAAAAAAAATTGTTACACAGTGTAATAGGTGAATTATTTTGAGAAATGCTTAATAACGAATACCAACATCCTATGCTAATTTTGGAATACACTTTGATATATATGGACAACCCTTCTGTACGAATGTAGCCATGTGTATTTGATAAAATTGGGTGTTTTGCACACTAAATAGATCAGCATTTGGAATACGTAAGAACAATGGTTGCACAACACGAGATAGGGCAGAGAAGATTATGCTGACATGTGCTTTGTATTGTTAAACTCTTTTTTCAGACGTGTTTTATCAGCATTTTTGTGCAAATGAAGTGCTTAGAAAATGCACAAGTTTCATTACAGGTATATTATATACGATAGATACTAAAACTGCTGTTGTTACCCGAACATGACTTGTAAATTGATGTTCCTCCTATTGTAAATCTACATCTCACCCAGCTATGTAGGCCACTGGTGTTGTGAAAGTAAAATGCACTAATACAGTTCAGGAAATCCAACCCGAGCCCTCCATGACTTTACGTTTGAAAGTGTAATACAGTACTACTGTGTACACACAAACGCGAAAAAGCACTCAGCCCTTGTGCATAAACCAAGTGGTGTATTGTGGTCTTCTTGTCTGAGGTCACCATCAAAATGATTTTAAGCAATGTGACTAATAGGTCGGTGAGGCCGAGTTAAGGATTTAAGCTTGATGAAAGTTACCATCTCCACGACTTTATTGCGATCACGTAAAGGGTTACAGAGACCGTAGCTTATACGTACGAATCATACTAATTGCGGTATTTAACATTGTGTATTAATTTACGTGTCAGTAATAAAAATAACAGTTAATTACATTCGTAGTGTCGGGGTTGAAGAAGCATGCAGTACTGTATTGAGGCCGCATATACTTAAATAACGTGGACTGTATATATATACTGCATTTACGCAGCTTGAAACAGAGAACTTGGCACAGCAAGTCGAGAATGTTGTACATTGTGGCGCTGAAGTTTTCAGCCTCGAGTCTCGTCCTTTGTCAACACAAAAAACCAAAACGACAGCTGCATTTTATCTCATCACAACCACTACGCAAACTCTGTGAGAACATGCTTTTAACTGCACTTCAACCCCTAAACGCTGACTGCTACCGTACGACTTGCTTGCAAGCAGTAAACAACAATGTTGACTACCGTAGAGTAGCAATTATAAATGAAACGAAATGATTGACCCCGATACTACCGCCCCCCTTGAGCAATGCGATCCGGGCGGCCCAGGAGCTCCCTTCCCCGGCCGAGTCAACTATCCGAGGCCGCTGGCACCTCTCCCCGGAACTACAGGCCTCGTGACACATTGGGGTAAAACATCACTAAAAACACTTGTTTTTACTAAAAACAAGTGTTTTTAATGATGTTTCAAATACGAAGAGCGGATCCAAACCTGACAACTGTTTTTCGCAGACTACTTGTGTATGCTAACTTGTTCCAATACTGTTGTGAAGATTTGTTTTTGTGATTTTTTTTAAGGCTATTCCTTAAATGTAAACATTTAATGTAGTTGTGATATCTGCGGATGTGGCCGTTACGAGGGGTAAACATTGCACCACTCTATACATTCGTCTATTCAAGGCTAGATGAGGGCCTTCCCCACGTCCTGGTTGTTTGCAACTCACACGAGCCGACGTGGGTTTCATGTAGGGAGCAGAGGTACACAGATTATTCTCGCACTGCCATCTGCTGCCCACAAAACCAGGGAAAATACCATTATGAAGCTTCGTTACACACGTTTGTCGTTGTATCTTGCCGACCCGCCCATATCGGGCGTGTGTGAAAGAGCTTCATAGCTCATCAGATTCCCCCTGCAGTCTAAGTAAATATTGACACGCTGAGCCGATGCCGTTTTATTTGTGAAATTCAACGGGAGGCACATTCTTGCATTTGAAACTCATTTCAGTCATTGTGTCAGGGCACATTTTTGTTTCCTCACGTTTATTGCAATGTATATGTCACGTTGAAAACTCAGAACACAATCGCAATGAGCACCAACAGCACCCATCCCTGCAACTGGACGCGGCCGCGACTCGGCGGCGTCTGACGATCCCGTGTGTAAAGCCGCGCGTTTCATTGGTCCTTTGGCCTCGGCTGCCGCGTCCCCATTGGCCACGCGGCTCACCACGTGATAGAAACATGCAACAGCCAATCGGACGCGCTCCGCAGAACGGAACTCGCTTTCGCGCGCGCAGAGAACCCCAGCGCCGTCGACGGCGAAGCGGCCGGGTCTGCGGAGGGATCCCGAGGCGCTACTTTCTCTCTATATAAAGCGCGGCACAACTTTCGCGGCGCATTGGTGAGAGGGCGCGCAGTGTCCCGTCTGCTAAGTTAGTTTGGCACGCAAACTTCGTACTTTATAACAATAGCGTCCCCCCCCCCCCCCCGCTTCGGGTTATTGTTTATTTACTCGAAAGTTTGTCGCTATTATACGAGTACACGTACTCGACGCAACAACACCACACCGAGCATATGGCGGCTGTGGTCTCCGGAGTGGCCCCGGGCACCATCGACTGCGACGGCCCCGAGGAGGAGGGGAGCGCGCGTCGGTGCGGATCTGGCCGAGCAGCAGCGGCCTCTCCCGGGCGGGCGGCGAGGGACGAGCGCCTCGGCGTTGGAGATGGGGCTGCTGCTGTTGCTGCTGCTGCACCCCCCCGCTCCCATGTTCAAACTCAACAACAACAACAGCAGCAGCAGCAGCCGACGGCCAGCAGGAGGCGCCACCGACGGCGTCCCTCGAAGAAGAAGCAGCGGCGTTGGCGGCCCTACCTGTCGCTCTCGTGGGACGAGAAGAAGGCGATGGAGGAGCGTGAGAGCGAACGCGCCGCGCGAATGCGCGCCGAGATGGCGGCCAAGGGGCTGGCTGTGGCCCCGTACAACACCACGCAGTTCCTCATGGACGAGCACGATCGCGAAGAGCCCGACCTGGAGCCCGCGGGCAGCGACGGCGACAACGACGGCGACGAAGACTCGGAAGAGGGCGAGGACGGCGGCGGGGAAGGTGGCGACGACGAGTTGCCGTCGCGGCTGCAAGGCGGTCGCGACGGGTTCCTGCAGCGCGACTTCTCCGAGACGTACGAGCGCTACCACGTGGAGAGCCTGAACGCCATGAGCAAGGGCGAGCTGGTGCGCGAGTACCTGGAGCTGGAGAAGTGCCTCTCTCGCCTGGAGGAGGAGAACCTTCGCCTGCGGGAGTGCCTGGGCGAGCGAGGCTGCTGGAGGGGGCCTGCCGTGGCGTTGGAGACGAAGCCAGCGAGCAGACCTCAAGCCCCGCTTGCTGCTGCTGTCGTTGCTGCTGCTGCTGCTGCACCATCATCATTGCGTTCCCCTCCAGCCGCAGAAATTGTCACGCAGCAACAGCAGCAGCACCAGAGCACAGAGGGCTCTGGTGGTGGTGTAGAGGCTCCTTGCCACGGAGAAGACGGCTCATTGGCGAAATCCCACGACATGCACGCCGGTGGTGGAGGAGGAGATGTGTCGGGAAAGCAGCAGCAGCAGCTGGTGGTGGACCTGCAGGCCGAGGTGGAGCGGCTGCAGAGGGAGAACGGCCGTCTGGCTCACCAGAACGAACTTTTGCAGCAGAAGCAGAAGCAGCAATCGTCGCCCGAGGCGAACGTGATGGAGTGAGAACGCCTCCCATGGGAGAACTGCCCCCCCTCCCCCCCGCACGTGTTGAGAGAGTTGGGGTCGATGGGGGCATGCCATCGTCCACCTTTGTTGGGATTTCATTTGGTCGATTCGCCTCCCCCCCTCCCCAGCCTATACTACTGCTGGCATTCTGATGGCATTTGACAGTGCGCCTAGCCGCTATTATCCTTGGCTCAGCCTCTCTTATTGGATTGTAAAGAAGCTCGTTTGGCCAGAGGGCTGCTGAAAAGTAAACACGGGGCCTGGACTCGGCCAAATGTAATCGTCTTTATTGGAGCAAAGCGCACATTTGGTTTCTGAATTGGAAATTGTGCGCGTTACAAGCCAACTCGATAGGTCTCACGTGCGGAATGTTTCTCCCAAGTCGTTTGTATTCGAGTAAAGATGTCGTTCGTCCTTGTTCTGCGGCGGTTTTAGAATTAATTGCTCATTGTGTTTGTTGTAGTTTATGGTGTCTTTTTTCTGAAAGTGTACCTTTTTTATGTGGTAATATAATTGGGCCAATTTTAAATGCCACCACCATCACCGAGTGAAAACTGTTCAGGACCTGAAATAGTTTTTTTAAATGACAAATAAAAGTTGGTCTCGATTCTAAATTGTTGTAAATAGTACAATTGGTGGGCGTTTGTGACTCTTAATTATGGCTGTGTATTCTGTACAGTAAATGAATTTACAGATATTTCATATTTTGCTTTAAACAATATTTTTGTAATCTAGGCGAACGAGTCTTGCTCGCATCGTGTTTAGAATGTGGATGAAACTTTTAAATCTTGTGCGATTTCTGCATTTAATGCCGTTAAATTAGATTTTAATGCGATGGGTAATTTCGTTGGCAATTTGTCCAATGTAACATTTTATCTGTACACGTATGCAGGACGATGTTTACCCAACTGTTCTCAAGATACAAAACCAGCAAACTTGCAATTGGCTTTTTAACTTATTAAAGTGGGTGCATTTTGACTGACGTGTGTGTGTGTATTCGTTGCCAAGATAACGCGAGTTGCCGCAATTAAAAGCAGCAATTGAGTCGAGACTTGTTTCGCATTTAGCGTGTACACATTTGTAAGAGGGTAAACATAGGTAGTCAAAAGACCTGGCTTCCTGGGTAAATTGCTAATCCTTGTTTTGGTCTCCCTCGTATGAAATCCGTGTCAAAGGGTGCTTTAATTTGACATTGAGTCACCCAAATGGGCAGACAACGACCTGCTGTTTCCGGTTGTTGGTTCGACACTTCACTTGGCAATTGTCACATTTTAAAAGGTCAAAGGAGCAGCCATGCAATAGTCTTACTGCTACTGGGTCCTCTAAGAGGGTATTTGGCCTATTTTTCTAAGCTGGCCAAACGTTTTAGGATGATCGACTCACTGGTGTTACTTATCCTGCTGGACGGGTTGGGATTTAAGAAACGTGCCCATTGTTTCAACTGCCAGGAGATTGATTTGGTGGGGGGGGGGGGGTTTATCCGTAAGAGGAAACCCGAGTTCAGCAAACATACGCCAATGAAAATGAATTTGTACTATACTGGATCCATTGCGCTGTCTTAATAATTATAATGTTGGATATTAGGTTGGGAATCTTTGCATCCTCTACCATATCAAGCGAGCATTCGTAGACCTTCGTGGAGTTAACTTTTTAAATACTCTAAAATCTGAATTGTTAGATACGAGCGGTTTTACCTCTTATTTTTACAACACCTCCGTAGTAGAAATGTGCTGCTTATCAAGAGGTTTTTGTGTTTAAGAGGCCACAAAACTCGAGAATGGAACTGAGCCTCCCTCTAGTGGAGATCCTTCTGCCAGTCGTGCCTTGAGCAAACAACGCCATGGCTGCACCTTTACCTTAATACTGGTCGGAACCTGGTTACACCAGTCCACAGGGGATTATTGTGTCCGTCGTGCAGGGGGGGGCTAGGTGGGGAGGGGCTGGGTGGGGAGGGTGGTGCTGGGTGGGGAGGGGAGGGTTTGGGTGGGGAGAGTGGGGCTGGGAGGGGCTGGGTGGAGAGTGTGGGGCTGGGTGGGGAGGGGCTGGGTGGGGCTGGGTGGGGAGGGGCTGGTCATCCCGTGGTGCCCTTATAAAACTCAACGTTTAACCTACTCACGCCGGCTTGTGCCCGCCCTCACAGTCGGGCATATTTGCGGAATACACCACGCCGCTGTTGACCCTGGCCATTGACCGAGCAACCCAACGTTCCTACCAGCTCCCTCCGCAGGAATGTTTTCTGGACATGTTAACAAAAAATAATTATCCCCTGCTTTGGGGTTGGATGGTAAAAATCACGTGCCGTTTATGCAGGTATCGTTGCTTAATTATTAAAATGTAGACTTGTTTTCCATTTCCTTAATTTGGAACACCAAGCGCAACATCGCCCCCTCCTGGCAGACTAATGTCAGCGTGCAAGCTAGTGCTGTGTTTACCTTTGCCCGCATCTGGACAGATGCTATATTAAAATAAAAGGTCGGCATTAGAATGATTGAGATGTAATGTAAGGTGCTTCGACTTTCAACCAACCTTTAAGTACCAAGTCTCATCATTTACATCGTAAATAGAGATAATCAAATTATTTGTATTCAACAATGTGCTATATAATTTTCAACATGCTCTTTAGTGGATGTATTTCTGCTGCACCAGGGGGTTGTCAAACTGGTTTGCATTATATACTCGATTGCATTGCATGTTTTATTATATTTTGCGAGCATCTGTTGATTGGGAAATGAAAAGACACTGAACTGGGATTTGAGAACCACTTTTTTGTTAAACTCCCAAGAAGCTCGCTGAGCGGAAGAGATACTTAAGTCTTCTGCCTTCCAGGAATGTAGCATGCTGCCTTGTCAATGGGCTCAACTCACACGGTAATTAAACACCTCGAAGTCAGCTTCCAATATTAGATTAAAAACGCCCATTATGGTCGAGTTTAAGCAACTTCAAGTTAAAGCAACACTGACAAGGGTGTACATTCATAAGAGATGCATGTGAGTGCAAATTGGAAAGCATTAAAGTTGCAAACATGCTTTCATCATCAGCTATGATCTATTCAATGCTGGATAAAGGCCTCCCCATGCCAATGCAATCCTTAGCAGTCCTGCAATGCCACATTCCATCTTGCTACTGCACACCGGCAGTTCCCATCACTTAATCTTCATAGTGTTCATCCTCTTGGATATCTCTACTTTCAATTCTATCTCTAAATTTCCCTTCCGGCAAAACGTTCCTTCGGAGTGGGCAGGTAGGAACTTGGTTGGACAGCGCATTCGTGCACGACAGAAAGCTCGCGGTCACGTGACACACTTCAACCAATCCGGGAGCGTACATGTTTGGAAGGGGCTATGCACTACAGATATAATAATCCCTGGTGGGCAGTGTGGAACTGTTGTTCCTACCTGAATTATTCCTTATTGTTCCCTGCCCAAGCCAACTTATTTTCTTTAACAGTCGTTGAGGACTCTCATTGACATTTCTCTGATGCCTGTGTTTCATTTTTTGTGTCTCAGTGTGATTTCCACAACGTAACTTTTCACACTTCTTTGCTTCATTATCAGCCTTTGATCCATTGACTTGATCAGATGTTTCTGATCCATTTGGCAGAGTGTACTATAGATGGAAGAATTATGCATAAATCCACATTTGAGGTCCATTATTTCATTTTTGTTTAAACATTAAACACGTCCATATTATACTGGTAGGAACCTCCTTGTTACACCAGTCCACAGGGGATTATTGTGTCCGTCCGTCCGTCGTGCATTCAAAAATGGGAGGGGTGGTGCTGGGTGGAGAGGGGAGAGTGGGGAGGGGCTGGGTGGGGAGGGAGGGGCTGGGTGGGGAGTGGAGGGTGGGGAGGGGCTGGGTGGGGAGGGGCTGGTCACCCCGTGGTGCCCTTATAAAACTCAACGTTTAACCTACTCACGCCGGCTTGTGCCCGCCCTCACAGTCGGGCATATTTGCGGAATACACCACGCCGCCGTTGACTCTGGCCATTGACCGAGCAACCCAACGTTCCTACCAGCTCCCTCCGCAGGAATGTGTTGCATAAATCCATATTTGTGGTCCAGTATTTCATTTTTGTTTAAACATTAAACACGTCCATATTATTTTCATCCAGGCAGGGCTTTTACTCACTTTTCATAATTCAAATGGTAAAGGTTACTTATTGAAGTGTGACATCTGAAATGCCCCATTTTCCTCCAAAAGCTTATATTTTCTAGTACAAATACGAGTTTGTAAAGGGTATATGATTTTGTTTTGCTGTAGAGATATCTGCATAAATTCCTCTGATAGCTGGACAATTGAAGGGGTCATAATGGGAGCATAAAAACTGATAAAAGAAAGTTGGTGGTTGATGAATCACAATTTTCTCTTGGCATGGTATAATCATAATGTGTGATGGAGACAATGTAAAAAATGAGCAAATCTAGCATTACAAATTGTACTCATTACTATGCTAAAGTGTATAGCTTTAGTAAATACAAATTTCAAGCATTTCGTAACTTTTGTGCAACGATCGCACTGAGCACAGGCACTTGACCGTAAACACGTTCCTTCGGAGTGGGCAGGTAGGAACTTGGTTGGACAGCGCATTCGTGCACGACAGACAGACAAATAATCCCTGGTGGGCAGTGTGGAACCTGCTGTTCCTACCTGTATAAGTGTAGTGTATCGTGTATAGTGTAGTGTGTAGGTTAAACGTTGAGTTTTATAAGGGCACCACGGGGTGACCAGCCCCTCCCCACCCAGCCCCACCCCTCCCACCCCCACCCAGCCGCCCCCTCCCCACACAGCCCCTCCCCACCCTCCCCACCCTCCCCAACCTCCCCACCCAGCCCCTCCCCACCCAGCCCCTCCCCACTCTCCCCTCCCTCCCTCCCCACCCAACCCTCCCCACCCAGCCCCTCCCCACCCTCCCCTCCCTCCCCTCCCTCCCCACCCAGCCCCTCCCCACCCAGCCCCACCCCTCCCACCCCCCCTCCCCTCCCCATATGCACGACAGACAAATAATCCCTGGTGGGCAGTGTGAAACCTGTTGTTCCTACCTGTAATATTTGATCTTACTCCTTGCCTGCAGTCATACCAGAGTCCCTGTTTCATGATGAGAAGGTTTTTTGTTAAAATTACACAACAGGTTGACTAAGTATGGCAGGTTTTTTGGAGGTGGGCAATCAGTACGTTATCAGTAATTGCCCTATTAAAAATTTTTGCTTCCAAAATGTGAATTAAAATTTACCCCACAGGCTCAGAAAACACATCACAAAAGAAACACGCTTCTGCATTTCTCCGAACAGGGAGATGCGTGGACTGAAATCGTACCTCAATGCAGCCCGATTTCAGATGGCAGGTAAACTTGTGCCTGAAAAGTCCTTCAGTGGTGACCATGGAAAAAACAGGACAGCTCCTCTCGTCCATGACCCTGTTACACGTGTGACTTCTTATCCGTGGGTTAAACAATCCGCAACATCGCAGACAAGAGGAGTCGTACAGTGGGCAATACGTTGTTTATTGTTTGTAGGTTTGTGATTAAGATAATGTTGATCTATAGTCAGGGGAAGATACAAGTTAGTTGAACACGTAGGCTTTCGCGACCAATATCCAAAATAGAGGTAAGGGCCAATGCACATTACGACAGGTCTGCCGATTGCCTGATTTTGACAAAAAGAGAGTCACAGCTGCAATTTAATCCAATTCATGTGCATTTTTTAATCCGGGATAACAATAGCTATTATGTTGAAAATAGGATGTTGAATCTTATCCTTGATTTTGCTGATCTGCATTCAACGAGGATGACAGGAATTTCACTGTACACATGGTGGGTCTGCAGGTAAGTGTCGGTCAATGTTCAGTCCGGAAAACTCCTTCATTCTCAAATGTCATCTGACATTTCAACGTGATACTCTGAGGTGGTGTTCTTCTAAGAGGTGCCATATTCCACGTGACATGTTAAACCAATGTATAATTGACCTTTTAGGTTGTTT